TCAAGAACGTGTGATTCAAACGCACCAAGGGGTACTCCTCGAACGCGCACCCTCGTGGCCAACGAGCTCGTCAATTGTGCGCGCTGACTTGCGGTGTTGTAGGGATTGGATGGCCGCAAAGAAACCGAGATTCAAGGAGAGTGTGGCGGCTGTGGGGCGAGGGACATCATCCAGCCCAATGACCGGTACGTGTTGAAGGCGGCTTGGAGCTCGGGGTCCGATGGCGTAACATGAGCTCGGGCATTGTCGCCCTGTGGCCATTTGGCGACGATGGCAGGCAAGACCTTTTCCAGCAAGACAGTACGGTACACGTCCTTTGTCACGACGACTGACTTGGTTTCGAGGGTTCCAGCTTTACGGTTCATATTGTCACGTTGCGCTTCGACGGTCGCCACAAATGGCCATTCGCCGATCTTGCCGTCCCACGACTTGTCGGTGACGCAGTCGTACCGCGGACGAGCCACAGCGCAGAGGAACATTACTTTCGTAATATACCGTTTGCTTTTGTACTCTCGTTTTGGCTCTTTCTCTCCTGGTACAAGATAATACTTACGGCTGACCTTGGTGAGGTAAAACCACTTCTCCTCCAAGTGCACGTACTGCAGCATATTGTTCAGCTCTAACGAGGAGCCGACGAACTGGACCGCATGCTTCAAACGGACGAACTTGTTTGCGTAAGCCAGCAATGGTTTAATGGCGTTGGAGTGGGAACGAAACAAGCGCATTTTAAGGAATCGGTGCAACGACCCCAAACTTATTCCTATTGTGAGATCAGACACGATGTATTCACTATAAGTTATCACCTGTGCGTTCCGAAATCGATCGTAGTCTTGTGCGTTGAGAAAGCGGCACCTGCAAGAGCTTTGCTTTAACTTGCTCTGCAGTAAACTCCTTCTTCCTGCCCACTCTACCTTTCATCTTGCTGGCGACAGATACTTTCATGTTGTCTCCACCAATTCCCTGCTGCTTGGCAACCGCAAGGACCCGGCGAATGGTGGACACATTGCAGTTGTATTTCTCCGCCAGCTCCTGGCTGAAGCCTTTTGGCAGCCTCGTCATATAGCTGCCGTTGCTGCGAAGCAAGACTTCCCGAAGGATGGTCTCGCGCTCGTCGTCGGTGAGGTTGCGCCTTTTGGGTGTCATTTCCGGAATTTGTTGGTATTTTGCAAGTCATGTTTTATTTTAGATTTTGTATGCAGAGTTTTGAAAGGGGGTAGCGGCCTCACCTGTTGAGATTTTCCGCTCATCATCGCACCAATAGACAGAGCTTGCTTCGCTCGTTGTTTTGATCCAATCACAGCAACGCATTTCGAATCCAGGCGGGCGCCACCACGTTTTCATTTACTTCCTGAATATAATGAAGTGTATTGTACACCCTCCTGAAACTCGCGCAATTATTTTGGAACGTAGGGATATTTGTCGACAATAGTACGTCGGAACAGAGGAAATTCATATCTCTGACCAATGATATTCTTGCTATTGGATTGGCCAAACTCATAACTCCAATTGAAACCACTTTGAATACAGGGAACGACGGAATGGTACGCCTATCGAATCTTCGAACTTGGGAGCCTACGTGCATAATGATTGGTTGATGAACTTCGGACTTCGGGAGGTTTTCCAACCAATAGTATGCCATTCGATAAAAATTTCACCGTTGTAGATTTATATTTTGAGGTATATT